TCGTAAGAGGTCACGACCTGATGAGGTTGACCCGTGAATCACCAAGAGTCTTAACAAAATAAATTACAGTGATACATCTTGAAGGTCAACGCACAGACCCTCAAAACAAGAACCGCTGATTCCTTCTCCCATGCTGCCAGTGGTTTACTGAGCAGCGCCAAGGCTCCAGACACAGTGCTGGGGACCGGAATTACAGCATGTGCTTCTGAGGGGCAGGATAGTCCTTCCCCTGACTGTCTAGCAGGAATCTCAGGAGCCAGCTTGCCAGAGTTGATTCAGCACTGCCCAGGCTCAGATTTTGCTTGGACCAACAGGCTCTCCAGTCTCTGGGGAAGTGATGCCTGATAGAAAGACAAACAAAAGCCTAGAAGCAATCCCTCAGTTTTTCACAGAGCAGCCGAGTCCATGTCCTCTCACCACAATGAGCTATTACAAATGTGAGTTCAAGGTTATATCCCTATAGGAAGGAGAAGGAACCTAGAGAAGGGACAGGGGGTTACCCTTAAAGAACAAGTTTGATTTCATACTGAATAAGTACATCCATTTTAACCTCACCCTACTCATTAGCTTCTGACTTATTTACATTCCCTGAGATGACTAGCTCGGAATAAGTGGGTAACGTCTTGGTTTTTGATTTACGAAGTCCATATGCCAGTGGTGGACCAGGAACTTCAGCATGGAACACAGAGACAGCATCAGCTGACATCAACCCATTGATCTCCACAACCCTTCTCTTTCATCCACTGTTTTGGTTTTTTTTTGCCCTGGTAACACCATACTTTGCTGATATACAATACTTTCACATACATACTTTTAAGTTTCCAGCAGCCCAATGGGACTATCGCAAGCCATATTTCATGAACGAGAAATTCAAGATCCAAAATAAACTTACTCAAGTCCCACAGCTGCTAACACAAAGACAGCACTCAAACCCAGGTCTTCAGCCTGTAAATGAGAGTTCTTTCCACTCTCCCATAGCTGTGTTCACAATTTCAGTTCTTCCTTTTTGCCTGCTGTCTCAGCTCATCCTGGTGGGGAATTACCACCTCCTGGTTTTCTGTGAGCCGTCACAGAGGATCTCCAGTGGTCCCCCTGCCCTCTGCCCTGCCTTCAGAGTAAATGACTGTTCCTCCAGACCTCTCTTGCACCCATATCTATTATAGTTAACTCTGGACTTATTTTTAGAGAAAGGGGGGAGCCCAGGCAAGGCACTTACTGAGGTTTTCTAGGAGTCAATATTTTTGCAGAGGCTGTTGGCTGATTTCAAGATAAATTACCTCCTGAAGATGATACACTTTTGTCTAGCTCTTCCTTTCAGCTCTTCCCATCTCCATTTTGGTTTTTGGGAGTCTGTGTTATTTGTGCTGTGGGATTTTAGCACCCTGTGTTTGCATGATTGGGATGTCAGTAGCTAGCAGAAGCCACTGCTGAGTTCTCTATCCAGAAATCCAGGGGGGTTAATTACCCTTGACCTCTGCAGGGATTGGCAGTGTCCTTAATTAAGATCTAAGATTTCATGGGACATTGGTGATGGCAAATGTACTCTGGTGGAGGGATGAGTATTGGAACAGTGTGGGTATTTGGAACAGTATACGACTGAAACTCAATCATAAAAACTTTATATTGTGTATCTCCCAGTGATTCCACTAAAAAAATAAATAATTAAATAAAATAAGTACATTGAAAAAAATTTCTTGAGGCATAAAGACACGGCTGTTTCAAGGGACTGGAGAAATAGAGAGGAATGGATTCCAAATATATTTTTAAAGTTCCTGAGTTACTGATTTTATTCTGAAACAGGCAGACTACTATTTTTTTTTCTGCTTTTTGAGTCGCACCCAGCCAATGCCCAGGGGTTACTCCTGGCTCTGCACTCAGGAATCACTCCTGGTGGTACTTGGGAGACCATATGGGCTGCTGGGAATCAAACCCGGGTCGGTCGCGTGCAAAGCAAACGCCCTACCCGCTGTGCTATTGCTCCAGCCCCCAGACTACTATTTTAAGCATGGAAAAGACATAATCACAAGGAGAAAACAAGGGGTGGGGAGTTTTATCATATTAAAATGAAGAGGAAATTGAAATGTAGATGTGTAAAGCTCTGCATTTGATAATTTTGCCATTGTGTAGATGTACCAAAGTTTCTTTAACCAGTCATCTGTCTCGGGCACTCAGGTTTTTTCCAGATTCTGGCTATTGTAAAAAGTGCTTTAGCAGCCTCTTCTTACTCCTCTTTCCCAATGCTGCCGTATTGGAGGCTCTTTCAGGGTCAGTGGAATGAGATCCGTTACTGTTACTGTTTTTGGCATATCGAATACGCCACGGGTAGCTTGCTAGGCTCTGCCATGCGGGCGGGATAGTCTTGGTAGCTTGCCAGGCTCATATATATATATATATATATATATATTTCCCTCTATAATTTGTTGCCTACTGTCTGAACCCCATCAAATATCAAATATGGTGTGGTAATTATGGAAAATGGATAGGGAGTATCTTATGATGTGTCACGCGGCCACCAAAGTGGTCCAGGAACATTGTTGCAATCACTGAAAATAAATACACATTTGAAGTTAGCATTATAGAGCAAGTATAGCTTCAACTGCATGAAAATAAATCAATTGGTAGACTATGCCATAGATAAAAGGAAAGAGTACTAAATAAAGGCAAGAATGATGCATATATAAAACCAAAATCCTTATACTTCCGAGTGAAATTATGCCTTTTAAATTAGTAGCTTTCCAACATATAACTCACAGAAATATTATTAACTATGTAGTTTCAAATATATTCTTAGGAGCTAAATACAAAAAATAAAATAAAAACCACGCCAGTAAATTCTGGCCTGTGTTACGACATGTCTCTCTTTTTCTTAACCAGTTCCCCACCAACCTAATAGGAAGCAGGAATTATTGCCTCTTTCAGCCAGATAAAAATAAAATGGGCAAAGCCAGTTTGTATATGGATAAACTCTGCTGTGGGTTCTTAAAATCAATTAGGCTCTTACCCTCTTATAGGTTTATAAAACAGCCATGAGAAAAACAAAATAGCAGAGAAAAATCTGCCATCCTCCTTTCTCTTTGAATGGGAAACAGTAGTTTTATCTGATTAAAATAAGTGAATGCCAATTATTTTCAGAATCTTTTATGGCACTATCAAAGAAGCTATTATCATCAACAGATTGATATCAACTGTAACAACGGATTCTTTGATTTGGGCCACATACAATTTGGGAATAGCCAAACCTTGTAAAAAATGCACTTACAAGGGCCAGAGATAGTGCAGTGAATAGGATGCTTGCCTTGCATGCATCTGACCTGGGTATATCACATGTGAGCTGCCAAGAGTATTCCTGAGCACCAAGCCAGGAGTAAGTCTTGATCTGGGTATGCCCTACACTCCCCAAAACCAAAACTAAACAAAAAGTGTGTTTGCCTTACCAAGGGGTAGAAAAAAATCCTTACTCACTATTAGCCCTTTCATCCTTGCGCTCCTCACTCTACACAGCTCAGTGATGTAGGTCAGATAGAGCCCCAAAATAGTCCAGGGCCAGACCCCAGTCCATTTCCCTCCAGTGACCTGAGGCCACACCTTACACCTGGTCAGGCTGACAGGCTTTGTGGGAACCTCTCAAAATCCAGCTGATTAGTGTTAAAAAGGGAGCCCACTGAGAAAGTGGAGTTGTTACTTGGATCTATCCCCTGGCATGCATATGAGGAGGATAGAAAAGTGGCAAGAATCCACATAGAGGAGGCAACTTGCCACCAGCTTCCCAGACAGGCTGGGCATGGTTATGGCTAAGAGGATGCCCTGAAATCAGGGAGTGAAGCCAAATGCAGAGCTAGAGCCTTCTAATCTTGGAATTTTTCACTTGCAGTTGTTTTCAATAGAAATATTACTTGCACAGATGACTTTGTAATGCCTGGTTATATGTTTTCTTAATAACATTGAACTTGGTACACCCACAGGAACACACCTTACTCTGAAATGTGAGGTTTGACTTCAGAATTCATGTGGTCACCCTGAATATCCTTGTCCTCTAGCAGCAAAGGTCAGGAGAGGGAGAATCAGCAGCAATCAGCTCCTTTAGAGAAGAAATGACCTAACAGACATCTTTCACTCACCATTAGCACCTGGACTTCCATCTACCACTGAAAGGGTCCCGTTCTGCCTCCTACAGTGAGAGGTTGAAGGACTGAGCACATCGTCTGTCTCTCTAGACCTTGACACCCTCTTCTTAAACAGAGATCAAGGCCAAGAAGCCTCAGATTCATTCCTAATCCAGTCTACTAATACACACACCTCAACCTCCTATAGCCAAGGTCTATGATTGAACATTAATATTGAAATACCGGAGCTCAGTTTAATTCTGTCCTGGGGTCCCACTCTGGAAGGACATAATTTTCCACATTAATAACAGGCTTTTCAAGGGGTTGAGGCTATCAGTAATTGTGGGAAGATCCCCAATATAATGGAAGGTCCATATTCCAGAAGCATTACTATTCATGGATCTAGTGAAAGACATTGGGAAAAAAGGGCATTTAAACATACACACAGGCAGAGAGAGAGTACAGTGGGTAGGAAGTTGGTCTTACATGTGGCCAATCCGGGTTTGATCTGGCACCAATCCGGGACCCCATATGGGCCCCTGAGCACTGCCAGGAGTAGTTCCTTGAGTGCAGAGCCAGGATTAATCTCTGAGCACCACAAGGTGTGACCCCCAAACTAATAAATAGATCACTGTCACTGTCCTCCCGTTGTTCATGGATTTGCTCCAGCGGGCCCAGCAACGACTCCATTGCAAGACTTGTTACTGTGTTTGGCATATCCAATACATCATGGGCAGCTTGCCAGGCTTTGCTGTGTGGGCGAGATACTCGGTAGCTTGCCGGGCTCTCCGAGAGGGGCGGAGGACTCGAACACGGGTCAATAAAAATTAAAAATAGATTTAAAAAAATAACTAAAAGCACACATAGAGAAAATAGTAAGTTTTCTTCTCTTTGAAGGGCAACTGCCAAGGATGCAGAAGGAAATGAAGATGGTCAAGGACGAAGACATGCATTTCAACGTGGGCGTGAAGAGGGGCCCCTCTTTCCCGCACTGTCTGCAGCCAGCGGTCTCTCGAGGAAAAGCACCCGCAAGACTCCCCTTCCCAGAAGCCCTCCGGGGCCCCTTCTCCCAGTTTCGCTATGAACCTCCGCCAGGGGACCTCGACGGCTTCCCGGGGGCCTTCGAAGGCGGAGGGTCTCGTAAACGGAAGAGCATGCCCACCAAGATGCCTTGCGCCCCGACGGCAGAGGAAGGCGGCCTGGCCCCGCAGGCAGACGACAGCAAACCCCAGGCCACGCCCAACCTCCCGCTGCTCTTCCCGCAGCCACAGCGCCCCAAGTACGACTCGCAGATGATCGACCTGTGCAACGTGGGCTTCCAGTTCTACCGCACACTGGAGCCCCTCGGCGGCAAGCCGGTGAAGCAGGAGCCAGTGAAGCCCAGCGCTGTGTGGCCCCAGCCCGCGGCCCCGCCCTTCCTGCCTGGCCCCTACCCCTACTACCCCAAGGTCCCGGCCGGCCTCCTGTTCCCCTTCTTCGTGCCCGCGTCCTCCCCGTACCCCTTTGGCCGCCACGCCTTCCTGCCCAAGCCCACGCCCGAGCCGCGTGCGCCCCGGCCGGCCGAGGCGCGGGAGGGCGACGAGGCCAAGCAGAAGGTGGAGCGCGTGGACGTGAACGTGCAGATCGACGACAGCTACTACGTGGACGTGGGCGGCGCGCAGAAGCGCTGGCAGTGCCCCACGTGTGAGAAGTCCTACACGTCCAAGTACAACCTGGTCACGCACATCCTGGGCCACAGCGGCATCAAGCCGCACGCCTGCGCGCGCTGCGGGAAGCTCTTCAAGCAGCTCAGCCACCTGCACACGCACATGCTCACGCACCAGGGCACGCGGCCGCACAAGTGCCAGGTGTGCCACAAGGCCTTCACGCAGACCAGCCACCTGAAGCGCCACATGATGCAGCACAGCGAGGTGAAGCCGCACAACTGCCGCGTGTGCGGCCGCGGCTTCGCCTACCCCAGCGAACTCAAGGCGCACGAGGCCAAGCACGCCAGCGGGCGCGACAACATCTGCGTGGAGTGCGGCCTCGACTTCCCCACCCTGGCCCAGCTCAAGCGCCACCTCACCACGCACCGGGGCCCCATCCAGTACAACTGCTCCGAGTGCGACAAGACCTTCCAGTACCCCAGCCAGCTGCAGAACCACATGATGAAGCACAAGGACATCCGGCCCTACATCTGCTCCGAGTGCGGCATGGAGTTCGTGCAGCCGCACCACCTCAAGCAGCACTCGCTCACGCACAAGGTAGGCTGGGAGGAGATGGGGGGCGTGGGCACTGCGAAGCCCCTTGGCGACGCCCGACAATGATGAGGAGTGACGACTCCTTGAGGTCAGAGACCTCCCATCCCAGAGCCTCAATGCTTTCTCTGGAAACTGCAGAATGGGGCGTCTTTTCCCATCTCACCTTCCTGGGCTCGCCCGGGCTTGGCCTGGAGATGCTGATAGTCTGATAATTTGTACCTTAGATCATCACAGAGTTTGGAGAGGGGAGTGAGGAAAAATGAACCGCGCTGAGGGTAGTCGGGCTGTGGCATCTTAGTCCTGATCTATGTCTTCAAATTCAGTTTTCTGGACACTTCCTGCAGGGCCATAGCATTCCTGTGGCACTAGCTCATTACCTTGGATAGACTAAGCAGAACCAGATTTTACCAGATTCTAGAACATTCTAGAAAATTCTATCTTTGGCTGCTGCAGTGGCTACCTTCAGGGTGATTTTTCTAACTCAACTGTGATGCCTACTTTATAAGCAGGTGGCTCTGAGGCTGGGAGGAGGCTGTCCAGATACAGCCCTTCACAAAGGGCTTCTTTGTGAAGCCCTCTGCCTGCCTTGTTCAGTGCCCTGTAAGAGGTCTGAGCAATACAGCATCCTTCTTTATTAAGTTTGGATTTTCTCTCCCCTGAGATCAAGTAGCACTATAGCACTGTCCTCCTGTTGTTCACTGATGTGCTCGAGCGGGCACCAGTACATCTCACTACAAATTGTGAGACTTGTTGTTACTGTTTTTGGCATATTGAATACGTCACGGGGAGCTTGACAGGCTTTGCCATGTGGGTGAGATACTCTTGGTAGCTTGCTGGGTTCTCCGAGAGGGGCAGAGGAATCGAACCTGGGTCATCTGCGTGCAAGGCAAATGCCCTACCGCTATGCTATCGCTCCAACTATTCAAGAAGAAAAAAAAATGCAGGCTCGTTCAGTCTAGTGTGCAACCAAAATTGAGGTTGAACTCGTTGAGGTTGAACTTCAAAAAAGCCCCCAGAGACATCTCAGAGGAGATGTTTGGGTTGACTTGGAGCTTCTGAGAGGAGAATTTTGCTTACTCACCTTTACCCTCAAACCCTCACCTCGAGTGGCTTTCTTCACAGCAAAGACATCTAGCAAGCCAGAGTTTCTAAGACATTTTTTTAACTCTGAGAGGTCATTGGAGGACTTTACCCAGCCAAGATGACATTTCTGCTCTGCCATAATAGGGCTAATTTGTTAGGCTAGAACAAAACACTGCAATTTTGTTCTGTGTAAATAGTTCCTGCCTGCTTCTAAATCACCTGAAGATACCCACCATCCAGAGAGGAAGGTCCTGCTGCACCAGAGAACAAGAAAGAACCTCAATGAGAGGCATCTACCAGGGGCATTGTTCCCTGAATTAAGGGGCTGCTAGGGTTCTGGGAAAGAATCAAAGCTGTATTCTGGAACTTTCTCTAAGACCATCAAAAAATGAATTTACAGGGGCTGGAGTGATAGCACAGTGGGTAGGGCATTTGCCTTGTGCATGGTCAACCCCGGTTCAATCCTCAGCATCCCATGGTCCCCAGAGCACCGCCAGGAGTAATTCCTGAGTGCATGAGCCAGGAGTAACCCCTGTGAATCGTGTCACTTGAAAAATATATATTGGGATAAAGTAGCAATAGACCTGGAGTATGTGGCAAACATATCTGACGTGACAGGTGCCTCCCTGTTTTGTCCCTGGTTTATTCCTGCTATTCCTGCTAGCACCACTCCAGATTCACAGTTGGCAGACCCAAGCCAGGGAACATGCAAGCCTGGAGCTGTTGTGCCCTGTTTTCCAGACTTTCCTTCCGTCACTTTGCTCCCCTCAGCCTTCACTCCCTACGTGCTCCTTCTGTTCGATTTCTCTGTTCCCCTCAGAGGCACCGCAGCTTTCTTTGTCTCCCAAAGAGGTGTCTAGACTTGCAGACACTTGTGTTCCAGCCAGTCCCCGTGCAAATTTCATTTAAGATGCAGGCTTCTTCTCAGAGAATTTCAGAAGCAGTGATGAGTAGATGCTTTTTCCTTATTGTTCTTGGAATAATTTCCTTATTCCTTATTCTCAGGACAACTGAGTCCTCACCAAGGTCAATCTTCAGAGGAAGAATAGACTGAAATAAATGGGAAAACTCGTCAGAAAAAGAGTTTTTGCATAGTTCGTAATTTTCAATTTGCTGATTGACTTAAAAATGCATCTTAACAATTAGTTTTCTTAGGAGACCATTAAATTTTAGATCTCTCCATTAGCATAAAGCCATGCTTATTTGCAATCACTTAGATTCTTCCAGCTGGAAAGAGTCCCAGGTGTTCATGACACTTCCCCCCCCCCCCCCCCACACACACACACTTCATCTTGAGAGGAGTGGGTCTTCACTAGGAAAAACCAGGAGCAATGCCTGAGGAAACACAGTCTGTAAATGGCTGGACAGACAGACATCAGTGGGTGCCAATGGAGGAGTGGAACTTTCCTACCTGATATGGTGCTGGGTGCTGCTCAGGTCAGATAGTACTATGGGGTGGGAAGCAGGTAACTGGTGCCAGGGATTGAACTCAGTGTCTCTGCAAAGCATGTGTACCAGCCCTGCAACATACTTCCCCAGACCATAACCTTCCATTTGATGGCATGGTTATGTATGGTTTTTAAGTCCCAAAGTTATAATCACATGGTATCATTCTGAGTTGAGATGTCTTGTAAGAAATATGCTTACTCATTAGAAAGTCAGCTAATTCTCTATACCTGCTATAAGTGCCTAGAAATATTTTCCTTTGGAGGCACTGATGCGTATGCAAGTCCTTCTACACAGACAGCAGATAAACTAAGGTGGCTCCTTCTGCCCGCTCTTCTGACCTCATTTGTATTTCTCTGAGGGAAAGCTGGCATCTAGGAGTTCCTGTAGCCAGCCACACAGAGTTCACAAAGGATTCTCTCCACCCCCCACTCCTGGGACATCATCTCCATCATCATACCCTGGCTATAACTTACTGAAGTGTGATTATCAGTTGTTCGGAGATTTTCAACTCAGCTAATAAGCATGCAAAAGAATATTTAGCATATTTTTCATGTGGGGGAAATGACTATTTAGGGGAGTATACTTTTTTATTATATTGAATGCCAGATTATAAATTCATTTCACATTTCATTCCACAGTGCTTTCACCCCAAGTCAATGAATCCCTGAGCACTGTCACTGTAGAACAGTTCCCAGGACAAACAAAAGTGTTCTCTTTCTGGTTTTGTTTTATATTCAGGGGCCGCAGCCATAGGTGCTGAGGGCTACTTATGATTTGATGCTCATAGGATGCTCCCAGGGGTGTCAGGGAACCCTCAGTTGTAGAAATGAGCCCAGGTATTTTGCATACAAACCCTGAGATCTAGGTCCTCGAAAACATCCTTTTCCTTCAACAGTCTGGCTAGTTAATGGTTCTCAGAAGAAACAGAATCATGCAATTAAAGTTTTTCAAGAATTTAGCAACTGAACAAAGCTAAAGCTGCACCATGTGGAACTGAATTTGACCCTCAGACTCTTTATTTAGACACAGAAAGATGAAGGACCCCATCCTGAGGCAAGCATGGGACCTGCTAACCCTCGTGCTTTGCCACTGTGCCTCTCCCCAGGGCGTGAAGGAGCACAAGTGTGGCATCTGCGGGCGGGAGTTCACCCTGTTGGCAAACATGAAGAGGCACGTGCTGATCCACACCAACATCCGGGCCTACCAGTGTCACCTCTGCTACAAGAGCTTTGTACAGAAACAGACCCTCAAGGCGCACATGATCGTCCACTCGGACGTGAAGCCTTTCAAATGCAAGGTGGGTCCTGGTATGGGCAGGCGTGGGAGGGGAAGCCTAAGGTCCATGGATATGTCTGATGCAGACACACCTCCAGAGGACTTTTAGTTTGGTTGTTGGGATACATCCTGCAGTTCTCAGGGGTTACTGCTGGCTCTGCACTCAGCACTTTGGGTGGTGCTCAGGGGACCATATGGGATGCCAAGGATTGACTTTCTATACTATCGCTCCAGTCCCACTCCAGAGAACTTTCTGCTGCTTCCTAGCGGGAGTGGGGAATGGTGAGGGGGTAAGGAAGGGGGTTGTTACTGAGGCTCAGAGTAGATCCTCAACCAGTCCCAGCTTCTTGCTTGTCCCTCTTGTCGTCACTTCTGGTGCTGCCAGCCCTCAGCCAGCTTGAGAAGGAAGCTGCTCTGATTGCTTCATGGTGTGACCAATGCACAGGTGAGGGGCAGCTGGCAAGGGAGGTTCCTAGTAGAGCACCCCTACTTAGGGAAGGAGGTTGCAGAGGATGGTGATGGTTAAGAGGACTAGGCCCTGGAAAAGAGAGATGGGGTGTAGTGAACCCATGCTCCTTGTAGGTGAATAAGCAGAACCCAGAAATGAGCCAGAGATACTTCTGGGGCTTCTCTCCCTTTCCTCTCCTCCCTTGAGCTGAGGGGTGACATGGGAGACAGGTCTCCACAGGGGGATTATTGAGTCCCAGACATGGAGAACCCTGAGATGTGGATGGCTCTGAGCACAGCCCTTTCGGCATCTCTCCTCCATCCCTCATGGAGCCTGGAGCTGGATCCACCTCCTTCAGATCTCCTCATCCAGTGGGCTCACTGGGATCATCCATGACCCAGGACAAGAGCATGTGTGAGCATAGTGCATGGTGCAGAAGCGTGGTGAAGCCCACGATACTGACTGACATCACCCTCAAATACCTGGGGCTTCCCAATACTGCTCCCCCCACCTCCTGCTTCCCTCTCCTACTTCTGAGATGAGGAAGGTGTGTATGTGTGCCAAGGGAGAAGGTGAGGTGGGTGGCATCATTCAAGACACCAACTGACAAGCGTCAGCCTGGCCTGAAAAAGTCGCTGAGGGCAGGAGACGGAAATGACTGCATGTAGGCATTTGAAGACAGTTTGCTGTGTGTGCTTGTCTGGTGGGATGCCTGGGAGAGGAAAGGGGAGAAGCCATTGATTCCCATTTCTAAAATAGGGTCCCCAAGCTTCCCGGGGCCATCTCAGCTGTCATCTCTCTGCATCATGTCCCTCCACTTGTAGGAACCCCCTGTGAAGCTCACTTCTTTCCTGTGTTGGCCATACCGGGATGGGGTGAGCGGGGTCAGGCACCAGAGCTTCCCCAGACCTGGGGACATCTCCGGAGGTGGAGGAGGGGGGCTGCTCCCTCCAGCCCTTTTCCTGCCACCTACTTGTATTTCCCCTCCTTTCCTTCACATTTCCAGCGGGTCGAGAGCCAATTTGTGTCCACCTTGAAGTATCCCAGCTGAGGGGGGAGGAGGCTGCTTGCAGATTGTGCCCCAGCAACCCCGGGGCTTGATGCAAAATGAAGCCAGCAAAGGAACTGAGGGTGTGGGGGCTTGTTCAATGGTTCTGGAACATTTCAGGATAGTGGAAGCAGTATACTAAGCCAAACTCAGGTCCCCGCAGAGTGGGTGGTCCTGTGTGGTCCCAGGTCAGATACCTGGGACTAACAGACCAGCTCTTCTCTCCTCTCTTTGGTTCCTCCTCTTTGATTTCTCCCCACTGTGTGGAGCCCTGGGGCCCTCCTCATGGAGCCCGGTTGCCTGTGGACTGTCTTTCGTGGAGGAAGCAACGCTCTCTCCCTTGTTGGCTTTACTCTTGTACTTGGTGCATCAATTCTAATTTCTGTTTCAATTGAGGCATCGTGATTGACCATAGTGCTAATGCATACAGTGTTCCAGTGCCACACCCACCACTCAAGCGCCAATAATGAGCTGTATTTTTTATTTTGTCACCTGGTGGCCAAACACCTCAAGCTGTTCATTTCTGAAGGGAGCAGCTGGCATAGTTGAATGGTCCCCTAAGTCCCCAAACCAGCTACCTCCCTTCTTTGCCTCTGTGGTTCAGTTCAGTGGTAGTAATGAAACCAGGTAGAAATGTGCCTGAATCCATGGGAGGTATCAGAGGCAGTGCCAATACAGGAAAAGGGTCTGCAGGCTATGTGTGATTTGGGGTACAGGGGCAGTTCTGCTTCTCTACCTTCAAGAGCCTCACTGAGGGGGGTAGAATATTTGGGACCAGGTGAGGTCTGAGGATTGTGAGGGTTCTCACGTGTACCACATGCAAGTGTCCATGGCATTGTTCCTGGGTCATCAGAGCTGTGAGTCAGCTTGGCACCATGTTTCAGGTCCCTCCTGCCCTGCACCTGTTCACTGTGCCTGCTAGTCTACTTTCCTGTTCAGAAACTCTTCTTGAGATTGGGTAGGTGCTGGATGTCAGGCCAAACTATCAGATCCTGTAAGTTAATGGTCTTGCCATACAGCCATGCAGCTAGGGTGAGCCTAGCTTTGGAATGGGATGTGTCCTTAAATGGCCACTTCTTTGAGCTTGACTTCTGGGTGCTTGTGTCTTGAGGCCAGCTGGAAAATTCCAGAGAGCCATGCCTCTCTACTCTGCAAGTATATGTATCTTTAGAACTGATAAAAGGATACCAAGGAGTATTTCCACAAAGGTCTTGTCTCTGTTCTCTGTGAAGAACAGGCATCAGGCCCCTTGGTCAAGAGCCTCCTGAAAAGTGCCAGAAGCATAGTTCCTCAGCTCTCCCTGAAGAAAGCATCTTCTGCTTTGCTACGAGTTCTAGAATCTTTTGGAGACCAGCCCCAGTTCCCTCCTCAGGCTGGGCTGTCTTGTGGTGGTGTCATGTTGCTTGTCATCTGTGTTGGGGCAGAGTTCTTGGAAATCAAGCCCTTGGGTGCTGGTGGCTGAGGGTCCAGGAAGGAGAGGGAGATGGAGGACTCTTTGCTCAGCAGTTAAGAACAGACATTTGTTTTGTGATGTCAGAGAAGAGGCCAGGCCGTTAGGTTCACACTTTGTCACGGGATCAGAAAAATAAGAGCTTTACCTGACAACTTGCCAAAAAGGATGCTTCTTTATTTCACAGATCTTGGGATTTCCACCACTAAAAACCCTAACCTTAAACCCTCCCCTCTGTTGCAACACGAATGATTGATTCTCCCCTGGTGCTCTGTTGAAACAGCAGTCCAGATTAAGAAGAAATGCTCTCACTGTAGGCTTAGGCACGAAGACTAGGATGGAAAAACAGGAGAAACGTGTTTCATTCAGCTTTGGTTCTTTTCTTTTCTTTTTTCTTTTCCTTTCTTTTTCTCTTTTTCTTTTTCTTCCTTTTTCTTCTCTTTCCTTTTCCTTTCTCTTTCCTTTCCTTTTCTTCCTTTATTTCTCTCTTTCTTTCTTTTTCTTTCTTTCTTTCTCTTTCTTTCTTTCTTTCTTTCTTTCTCTCTTTCCTTCTTTCTTTCTTTCTTTCTTTCCTTCTTTCTTTTTCTCTCTCTCTCTTTCTTTCTTTCTTTCTCTCTTTCCTTCTCTCTTTCCTTCTTTCCTTCTTTTTCTTTCTTTCCTCTTCTTTCTTTCTTTCCAAATGAGACTGCCCTTCTGGGATCTCTTGCTACAAGCTTAACTTCTCGACACTTTGTTTCTCGGAACCAGCTGGAATCTCTCCAAGGAGCGGTTCCTCTACAGCCTCATCCTAGGAATCTGCTTCCCCTGTTCTGCGTAAGCATGCGGAGGTTGCTGTGTGTTCTGGTCCTTGCAAGCGGCTCTCTTTCAGAGCAAAGAACCAGCTGCTGTCTTTGGGAAACCTGTCCAGGAAAAGCAGCCATCCAGAATTTCCGGGACAAATTCTCCTTTGAGATGGGTGAAGCCGGAGCTGCCTAAGTTATGAATCACCAGGTCATCTGTAGCCTGGACTGAAGCAGACGCTGAAGGCCGAGGGCGGATAAGGTCTCTTTGCAAAGGCTCCCAACTACTTTTGCTGCTCCTTGGGGTTCAGTATTCCCTTCCAGCTTTTGGACACCCTCCAAGGAGAGAGACCCAGTAGGGACCTTTGGGAGCCCAGGGCTTGGGCTCAGAGCCCAAGGCTCAGGCTGGCGTGGAGGGGGTTAAGGCAGTGACCAGATAGCTGCCTTTTGGCAGCAAAGCCCTCCGAAGCAGAAGGAAGGATATAGCTGTATGAACTGCCTGCTTAACAATGCCTCACATGTCCCCAGGGGCCCGCCTGCAAATAGATTTCATCTTGCTTTCTCTTGTACTTTTCGAAGCTTCCTGTTTTCTCACGGTCCTTTTGGACAGTTTACAGTCCCTCTCTCTCCCTCCCTCCCTCTCTCTCCCTTTGAGGAAAGGAACACCCTTCTTATGAAAAGAGAGCAGCGAGAAGAATGGAAGGGAAGGGCAGCCGAGTGGAGAACATTCCGCAGGGCTGCAGGCCGCAGCTCTTTGACCTTTTCTCTCCGCATAGGAAAGTGCAGGCTTCCTGGTGCATCTCAGGCCTCAGGCCCCCTCTGGGCTAGCTGACTCCCTGTGGCGGGCCTTCTCTTGGCATTTGTGAGGCTCTGGCCCTGACCCAGCAGCTGCCTGCTGCCATCCAACCCCCTTAGGCACTAGTCAGTCCACTTAGTGCTGAGGACTCTGGCCTCCGGCTCTCTGCAGTGTGCCAGGCACGCACAGTCACGAGAAGTGGCTCGAGGTGGCTCCATCCCTGGACCAGGGTGGGAAAGAGAGGCCTGAGGAGAGATTTGAAGCTACAGCAAAGGCCTGGAGTGACCAGCACATCAGCCAGCCATTTAAAGGACTGCAAGAGGCAGGGCAGGTGACCAAGGAGCAGAGGACATGTTTGAGCTCTGGCACCACATGATCTACCAGCACCATCAAGTGTGGGTCCTATATAATTAAGATCATTTTTCTAACAAAGTAAAGACTAACTGAGCCTTGGGAAGCCAGAGGACACCTTCCTAAGCTCTGCTCTGCTCATTCTTTTTTCTCAGTGCTGCGGTAGGCACAATTGCTCCTGTTTTTATTGCTCCCCCCTATGCCTGGCAGGGGTTTCTGCATCGGAGTCTTCCCAGGGTCCTTCCTGTTATATACTCTTCAAATAATTGGGTTTAAAGAGACAGTACCAGCATCTTCAAAGAGCTTTCTGTAATGTCAAGGGACCCACTCTGTACATAATGACTGTATCTAGCTCACAGTTATGGAGCCCTTACTATTTGCTGAGCCATGAGCACAAAGGATCTTATTTGATTTTTCCCAAGAATCACGATGATCAGAAGAGAAACGACTGCAACTGCAGAAGAGAACCCCTGAGAGGTGTCTCTCTCCCTCCCAGCTTCTCTCTCTCTCTCCTCTCTATGGTACCATTTCAAACCTGAATGATCTGTGTGACCCATTTTAATTTTAATTTTTTTGGATGACACCCCAGGGGTGCTCAGAGGACTAGAGGGTGCCAAGAATCTCACATAAGCCTCCCACAAACTCTGTGCTGAACCAGTTGAGCTCTTGTTCTGGCCCCTGTGCCATTTATACAGAAGATTTCAAGATATTTTTCTCCATGTTCTAATCATGATTGAGGTCTACCTCAAGTGGTAGAGCACATGCCTAGCATGGGCAAGGCCCTGAGCACAATTCCCAGCACAGCAGAGCCCCCAAGATCCACCAGGTATAGTCCCGGTGGCCCCTAAGAACCTCCTGTCTGAGCACCAAATGCCCACAGCAGGCAGAGATCTGTCAGAACTGGGCCTCTCCACCTCTGCTAGATGTGGCACCTATAAAGAGTGAGTATCAACATGGGTCCAGAGAGGAGGAAAACCTAAGCTCGGGTATCAGAGACACAATGCTACTGCTCAAGAGAGCAAATGAGAGTTCATGTAGGAGTGCACAGGTTGCAAGGACACCTGTGAGAAGAGAGGGGCGTTCTCCCCACGATAGGCTTCCGCTGCCTGTACCCACCCCTGTTTCGATCTCTGCAACCTTGGCAGGAGATGAATCAGTATGTCTTGATTTGGTCTAGCTGTTAGCTAGACTTCCTTTGATCCAAGAGAAGAAAGCAGAGGTTGACTATTTCTTCCCAGCCCATTTTTCAGTCCAATCCCTCTTCTTCATAACAGTGACTTTGCTTGGAGCTCGCCGCTCCAACTCCAGGCAAGGGCACCACCTGACCCATCCTCATTCTCAGCCCCAGCTGCCCTCATAATGACCAAGGGGTCCCACTTTGGATTTTATGGAAACACTGTCTTCCCCCCACTCCCACCTCTCTCTCTCTCTCTCTCTCTCTCTCTCTCTCTCTCTCTCTCTCTCTCTCTCTCTCTCTCTCTCCATCCCTCCCTCCGTGGGTATTGTCATATGAACACAACCTTCCATAACAGATGAAGGGACCAAGTGTTCTGAATAAGAAACAAAGAGACTGAGAAGGAGACAATTCCCACCACTGAGAAGGGAATGGTGTCCATGTACCCCGAATCCTGAGTCTGTGGTCTTTTTCCTGTTGTGACACAGGACTTGAGTCTCTAAACCACTTTGTAAAGGTTTAGTGGGAGAAAGGAAAGGAATCTATGATGACTAAATTCCAAAATTTTTAATTTTTTGCTATGGGGTAGTGATATTTTCTGACTTACTTGTTTATTCCCCTAACCAAGTACTTAATGATCCAGTAATGATCCATGTGTCTGACCTGGGGCTTAATACTGATGGTGCCTACAATGGAAAAGGTAGTCCTTGCATTTCTGAAGACTAAGCGGGACCTTCTAATGTCCCAGACAGCTTTCTGAGATGGAATAGCTATACCTATTCCCAGGGAAGTGCTTCACTAACTGGTCCAATTTGCCACTATGATCCATGGAGGATAGCTTGGGTATATAAAAATAAAAGTCTCTAGCAGTACATAGATCATCATCTCCTCCTCCTCCTCCTCCTCCTCCTCCTCCTCCTCCTCCTCCTCCTCCTCCTCCTCCTTCTCCTCATCCCCCCTCCCCCACCCCTCCTCCTCTTCCTTCCTTCTTCTTTCTTCTCCTTGTGTCTCTTCTCCTCTGGTCACACATGATAGCATAGTTGACTTATCATTTCTGCAGAGAATGACTAAATGTTCCCTGAGAACTATGGTTTTAGGAGATAATATATTTTAATTTCTTAATGATCCATGTGCCACTAACATGTCCCAGAAAGCTCAGGATGAGTGAATGGAGTCAGGGAAATATTAGAGCAGGAAAACCCACACTGAGCTATCTTAAAGCCTCAGGGAGGGTTAGTAGAATCAAATAATACCTCTATTTAGAAGCAAAGAACTCAACCAACCATCCTTGATCTCAGACTTCTGAGGAAGTCAGAAATTGGAACAATTCACTCAGCCTCTCCTCCATTTGGGTCCTCTTTTCTTGCAATGGATGTGGGTGCAAGTACTCTTGAGACTACTGTAGGTTGAATTCATTCTTTGTAGTAAGGAAGTTAAAAAAGCAGAAAAGTTCTTAAAAGCCCCAAGTATGAATCACTTAAAATTAGAGAACCATCCATTCATGGATTTTCTGTGACACGTGTAATCCCCAGCTGGTTTTCTCCTACTACACTGTTCTTCAAGGCTGGTCTCCTAAGGACACTGTTAGGACTCTGTCAGTTCCAGAATCAGCTCAACTCTCACCTCCTGAGCTTCCTGAAGATAACATCACATTATTAATAAACATTCAGCCAGAATCCCCAACCTGGGCCCTGAATAGGAAAGCTCTCTCTGAAAACATAAAACTGGTTTTAGCTTCCAGATACCCTATCCCTGAGTTCTACATTCATGAAATCTCTCACCCCAATTCCTTTCCCTTAGGACCAGGGCCTTTGAGTGTGAGGAGAGATGGAGAATGCTGTCCCAGTCCTTCACGCCCTCCTCCCAGTCCAGCCAAGGAAGGGCTCTATTTTGCAAATCATGCTCTGCAGGGGCTTGGGGACCAGAAGAGGGGGGGAAGCACCCCACAGCACCGCCATATGTTTCTGTTTCATATCTTATGCTTTTGCAAAGATGGTCCTGCTCTTCCCAAGATAGTGGGGACCACCTGTGGTGGTCCAGTCACCCTTAACACTGTTGAAAATGGAGAAAAATGAACTAGAAAGAAATTAGTCGAACAGGTCTATTTTGAGAATGCTCATGAGAATGTTGTAGTCCTTTAAATCTTGATCCAGAGAGAAGATCCATCCTGACTTTCCTTTCTTTCTTTCCTTTTAATGTTCAAATCCATCCCAAGAAGTGACAAGTTGAAAAAATTGGGCAAACAATGCCTGATGGAACTCAATGGAGTTCTAGTGGAAGGCACACAGGACAGGGTGCTGGTTGAGTATGGAGCCTCTAATGGTTGAAGGTTTGAGTTTCTGTCCTGATCCACTACCCACTAGCTACTGCCTTCATCTAGTGTCTTAATATCTCATTTGGTCTCTCTGTTCAGTGGCCATGACAAAAGCCTGCACCTAGGATTAGTTCCAGGTGCACTTAGGACAATAGCTTCCTTATTGCACATGCCTAATTTATAAAATATTAATACCTTTTTAATCTAGGAAGTATTAGTACAAATTATTCATCAACTAATCACATCCTGCGACTAGAGTGAAGCAGACTATGAATGATTATTTTCAGATCTTTACTGATCTTCAAAGTTGTTCTTTGAAGGCTGTGTTCTAAAGATGTGTTCATTGCGTGCTTGCACTGTTTCCCTTCCTGGGTGCAGCAGACAGGGGAGTTCTGGGATTCCATTCCCCCTAACCAAGTCTGAGACTGTCCCCAGCCTTCTCCTGGTATTCACAGGGATCCTCGTCTGGGGTGCCACATCAAATGCCATATTGTATAGTAGAAGGTGCCAAGACCATGGCATGCATCTCCCAGACCAAGCTGAGGGCTGCATGGAGCGGAGTTCCTTGCCTGAGTCCCTGAAGTTCTCTGTTTCTGTCTCCACCAGCTATGTGGGAAGGAGTTCAACCGCATGCACAACCTCATGGGACACATGCACCTGCACTCCGACAGCAAACCCTTCAAATGCCTTTACTGCCCCAGCAAGTTCACACTGAAGGGCAACCTGACACGCCACATGAAGGTCAAGCATGGGGTCATGGAGAGGGGCCTGCACGCTCAAGGTAACACTCTTCCTGGATGGAAATCCCTGGGAGCTGCGATGGGCTTTCAGTGAGCTGTCCTGGGGTGGTGGGTCGAAAGCGTCCTTTTCAAGACCACAGGTGTGAAGCAGGAGTCAGTTGATGCAGTTGCTATAGCAAACCTAATTGTCACAGAGGAAGAGGATTAGACATCAAGATGAGACTGAGCTGACAGGGACATAATGGCAACAGTTCTACAGTCCAGATGAAATCCATTGCCTTATGATTTTTTATTTGAATTTTTTTAAAATTATTTTGGGAAGCCAGAGCAATAGAACAGCAGGTAGAGTGTTTGCCTTGCATGTGGCAACCCAGGTTTGATCCCTGGCATTCCATATAGTCCAGGAGTATATCCTAAGTGCAGAGCCAGGAGTAACCATCGAGCATCACCAGGTGTGACCCAAAAATCAAACAAAAATTATTTTTGTATTTGGGCCAGACCTAGCAGTGCTCAGGACTTACTCCTAGCTCTACACTTAGGGATCAATCCTGGGTGGACTTGGGGAGCCATAGGGGGTCCCAGGAGTTGAATCCTGGTTGGCTGTGTGTAAAACATTCACCTTAACCCCTTTACTATCTCTGTGGCCCCTGTTGCCTTATTTTCTTAAATCTTCTCAGCAACTCCGGATTGGAGGAACTTTATTTTGCCAATGAGGAAGCTGAGACTTCAGAACATTCCTTTGCCCAGAGTTGCTCAATTGAGAAATGACAGTGCTGGTTTGACACTGGCTTTCCAGACTATGAAGCCTTTGTGGTTACGCTCTGCTTGCTTGCACTATGTCAGTGAGTGTGCACTTGCTCTTTCTTAAAAAGAAAACAAAGGCAGACTGCAAACTCTGCTGTCCACAGAAGTACTTCTATTGCAGGTGTGACTCCTGTACCCCTTTATTTACATACTGTTTTTTTGGGGGGGCACAGTTGTGTTGCTCAGCACTTATTCTTTGCTGTGTTTTCAGAGATTACTCCTGGTGGAGGTTAGGAGAATACGTGTGCATAGAGGCATTGAACCTGGTACTGCCACATACAGGGCAAGCCCCCTACTGCTGTATTATATTACTCCAGCCCCTCCCCTCTAACCCTTTATGGAGGCCAGTGGTCCCGCTTGGGGAGGCCTCACTGGCCTGTGTGCAGGGCCTATCGCTCCTCAAAATCATACCTAAACTGTAAAAGTCCTCCCTTCCTATAACGTCTCAGTCCTAGCGTCCTTAGTAGTGAAGAATTTATGTTCCAGTTCTATTGGATTCAATGTTATTGGTCCTTAATCACCCCACCAGGCAGTCCCTGCAGGTAGTTAAATGTGTTCCTGTCCAGGCCCAGAAGCACACAGCAAGACTAAAGGTAGAAGTGGGCTTTCATGTTGAGAATTTCTGAACTGAAATATTACTTACGATACCAAGGTAAAATCCAGGTGATTGATTTAGGCTTGCTGCTTTTCCCACCCCTGGCAAAAGAGGTAACTAAGTAGGCCCAGTTATTTATAAATAAGACACACACACACACACACACACACACACACACACCACAGAGCCTGATTATGGCTTTCAGATTTCTCACAACACACACAGAGTTCTTGGTGACTCCTTGGTAACAGGGAATGGTGATTGTCATAAAACAAGGCCTGGGATTTGTGCTAAAGCACTGAAAAATTAGTTTTAAAATTATTACAGGAGGTTTTACTATTATTATTATTTTTTTATTCTCCAGACTCCTGACTTAGTCTTTGCCTCTGTAATTGCCTGAGCTACATTGTTTATTGACACCTTTTGCCCCCCAAGCTTGATGTGGATTTTTCCCAAAAAAGGTGATATGTGCTCAGAGGTGTACAGGCACAGAGGGGAGAGCCCACAACTGAAAGCCTAAGTGGGTCTCCAGGACGGAGCCCTGATGGACCTTTAGCTCCTAAAAGGCACCAAACACTTTTGCCATCCCCTGGGAAAGGAAGTGCATCCCTGTTCAGCAGAGAATTGCTTTTAGTTCTCTAACTGTTAGCTGAATTTCAGCAATCTTAATGTTCCTTCATGTAGCCAACCTGGTTTTGATCCTCAGCATCCCATATGGTGCCCTGAGCATCACTGGGAGTCATTTCTGAGTGCAGGGCCAGGAGTAAGCCCTGAACACTGCCAGATGTGGCTGCAAAATAAGCACTGCTCTGTAGCACCGTCCTCCCGTTGTTTGTCAATTTGCTTTAGTGGACACCAGTAACGTCTCCATTGTGAGGCTTGTCGTTACTATTTTTGGCATCTCGAATATGCTTTGGGGAGCTTGCCAGGCTCTGCTGTGCAGGCAGGATACTCTCGGTAACTTGCCGGGCTCTCCGAGGGGGACGGAGGAATTGAATCTGGTCGGCTCCGTGCAAGGGAAACGCCCTACCCACTATGCTATAACTCCAGCCCGACTCCACAAAGCAAGCAACCCTCCCGCCGAAGTTTCATGTACCACAGGGATTAGCATTTTTTATTTCACTCTGATGTTTGAAAGGGCCCCAAATCACAGCATCATTTCAGAAGTCCTTCCTGCCGTGGTGTGACCGTGTTGCACAGGCTAAGGGGACAGCAGAGCTCCCTGTGGGTCTCACACATAAAGGGGGCTCTCCCACAGAGCTGTGGTGTTTCCGAACACCAGGACACCCCTTTCTGTTTCTTCTGAACTCATAGGAACCCACCAGGAACCCACACCTCATTTTTCAGGGGCTCCTGTGAACTGTTGGTTCACTGTGGGCAGAGGTCTTCAAGACAAAAATCAGGTGGGCACTAGCAGCGTCTGGTGGCTGCTGAAGGACCTTACTTGCCCCATGGGAGGGCCCTGGTGGTCAGACATGAGGGATGGGGGAAAGTGAATCTTTCCACGACTTCTTATGGCCTCCTGGCTCTCTGCTCTGAGAACCCCAGGGTGTACTGGCCCCCAAAGGGACTATCTGGTTTGGGGATTGTTTTATTCAGGATGAAAATATATTAATATTTTCTAATGAGGTCTATGGGCTGGAGTGATAGCACAGTGGGTAGGGCGTTTGCCTTGTACACAGCCGACCTGGCAACCCAAGTTCGATTCCTCTACCCTCTTGGAGAGCTCGGCAAGCTTCCGAGAGTATCTCGCCCACATGGCAAAGCCTGGCAAGCTACCCGTGACGTATTCGATATGCCAAACACAGTAACAACAAGTCTCACAATGTTACTGGGCCCACTTGAACAAATCGATGAACAGCAACTGAAGGACAGTGACAGTGACAATAAGGTCTATGCTTTCTCACTGTGAAAACAGAAAAAAAAAAAGAAATACTTAAAAGTGAAAAAGTTTTATTTTGAGATTTGGGTGTATATCCTTCCAGACATTTTTGCCATAGAGACAGAACCAGAGATAAAAATCTATGCTAGAAATGGATGGTTTTACTTCAGTATATAAAGCAACCTTTCTATCATCATTGGCTGGTTTCTGTGTCCCCTCTAGATGGTTCACTGGATGAAATGCTGTTACTTACATAACTAAATCTCTCATTATTTGAGAGACAGGGATGATTCTCTTTCACTACCTAAAACCCGGTAGGCAGATTTTTACACATTCAACATTGCCCCAGCCTGCTAGTTTCTCAATTTAAATTCTCAGCAGTCTTATTGCTAGGTCAGAGCTATGCTTATTTTATTTTATTTTATTTTATTTGGTGGGGATGTGGGGGAGGGCCACACTCAGCTTTAGGAATTACTCCTGGTGGGGCTTGAGGGACAATCTGTGATGATGGGGATTGAACCCAGGTCAGCCATGTGCAAGATAAATGCCCTACCCCTGTGCTATTTCTCCAGCAGCTTATCTTAATTTTTGTTATAATTACTTACACTTTTGAGTCTGCCAGTGGTACTCAGGAGGTCTGGAGTCGCCTTCAAGCCATCTGGGCTGGAGGTTCAGTGCGTGCAAGGGCCCGAGGATGCCGTGATGCTAGGGATACCTGGACTACCCAGCAGTGCTCAGGGGCCTGTAGGGCTGCACTTGGCCATGCTCTGAGGACCATGTGGTACCAGGGACGGAAGTAGAGTCAGCACATGTCTTGTGTGTGCCCTAATCCCTATATTAGCACTCCTATCCTCTATGCTTGTTTCCTTTTGCTATAGCCAATTCACCTGAAATCGACATATCACCTGTGTATCACAGATGTATCATGGGTAATAATACATCCTAACCAGGAAAAGGCCTATTTTTCAAATGTGAAATCAAACTGCCTTCAGTGGCCCTGGCTGTCTCTCAGAGGCCCATTTTTTTTTCTGGGATCTGAATGCTGCTTTTGTCTTCACAGGTTTTGGAAGGGGAAGACTTGCCCTGGGACAGACGGGGGTCCTGAGGAGTCTAGAGCAGGAGGAGCCCTTCGACCTTTCCCAGAAGCGCCCAGGGAAGGGGCCAGCATTCCAGTCTGATCAGGAGAGCGCCAGGGGCAGCTCCTGCCATGAGGAAGAAGAGGAGGAAGATCACTGCTATGATGTTGAACAGGAAGGCCCAGCCCTGGCACCCCAGGGTCTGTCTGCCGAGGTTGAGCAGGCCCCCAGGGCACTCGGGGAAGCCAGTGAGGAGGAGAAGGAGGATGAGCAGAGTGGAGGTCAGGAGAAGAGCAAGGACAGTGGTGGGGCAGAGGACGGCCAGGAGGGAGACCTGGATCCCAGAGAAGAATCTGTCAGCCTCAGGCACCTGCAGGGCACTCGGAGGGGCTCCTCCTTCCCTGATTACTTGTACTTCAAGCACAGAGATGAGAGTTTAAAAGAATTACTGGAGAGGAAAATGGAGAAGCAAGCAATGCTTTTAGGTATCTAAGTGGACAGTTTTAAAATTACATTTGGAAAATGGGAGTGAGGCGGTCCAAATGCAGCTTTCTGCCTGGATTGGCCTTTGTTGGACAGGAGTGAGGTGCTTGTCCTTACAGATGGCTCCAGCTACGGTGCAGGGGTGGTTGCCAGCAATGTAGAAGCGTCTCCCTTCTTTCCTGGGGCCCTTGTGTTTCACACACCCAAGGGCTGCTTCAGTGTTGGTTAGCGTCTCCCAGCTAACAAGCTGTAGATATTTTTTTGGTTTCTATAATAAGCTGATATGAAGGTGTTTATTTAGAGATTCTATTTTCCTTGAATAATAGTTGCAAGAATATGGTGCTTGGTGTGTTATCTTGTTAATGACTATTTAGGTGAATCTGTGAAAGTTACAATATCTTTCCAGGTAGATGAACATATTAGTAGTTGTATATATAAAAATCGCCTTTATTCCATAATCAAACATGCCAGAAACAGCAAGAGGGCGAGTTCTTGAAAGGGACATGCTCAAGCAGAGGCTGTAGAAAGAAATTTTCAGAACAGGAATAATTTTGACTAAGAAGAATTAGGTTATATTTAAGATTCCTGCCAGGTCCTGCCCTGTTGGGTCTTAGCTGCCTGGGTTGGGGGATTATTTTCAGATGCCCAACAATGCTTGTGACTGGAACAGAATTCTATCTCCACTCCTTTCTCAGAGGCCCACAAAATAACTGCCTATTGTAAGGTGGGTCCTGAGGGTGACAGCCACCAGCTAATCACTTAGGCTGTCTTCTTAAGAGCTACCTCTCGGGAGCCTGGAAAATTCTATCAGTGTTAGGGTCTCAGGCCCAGAGATTCTGAGTTACTTGGTCCAGTGTGAAGCCACAGCATCAGTATTTTCTCAGTTGCCCCAGAAGAGTCTTTGGTGGAGTTGGTATTGAGAAAACTCGAGTGGGCTAGAATAGAATCCAGGAACCCCTTCTGGGAACTCTATAAATTTCTCCTCTTGGTTTCAGACACATTAAGGCAGAGAACAAGAATCCTGGGAATCATATAGCAACATGGGCTGTCTTGACTGTTCTATGGAGTCTCCGGAGGATACACACACACACACACACACACACACACACACACACACACACACACACACACATTCATTCATTCATTTATTCTAAAGTTATTGTATAGAAGATGATGCCAGTGATGTTGATGGTCACTTATGTTTCAAGATGCTCCTATTTCTTCCTAGATGCTTGAATTGTAATCCCAAAGAGTGATGGCAATCAGAGTGGGTTGAGGCCAGCAGGCAGATTTTCTTTGGACACCGGCACTGAACAAAGAAGTTCTGATGGATGCCCCAAATCCATGGGAGCCCCATAGTAATGCCCTGGTACTGTGCCAGTGTGCATGGAAAAATCCACCCTGCTTGGTAGCTCTGATTCTTGTAGTGCCGTAGGTACCGTTGTTTTGCTTCCTTTTCTCTCCAAGTTCCCAGTCCATTTCTTTCAATGCTTGGCCCCTTTCTGACTTGCTGCCTTTTGGGGCCTCTCTACTCCCATAACATCAGCCTCTCCTAGTTTTTTCACTCATCTGCATGCTCTGCCAGTCCTGGAGGCACACCTTTTGCTTGCTACCTGGCCCTTGCAAATACCACTTTCCTTTAAACTCACTACTGACTGCTGCCACCGTGCTCTGAAGTGAGAGCACCCACAGTGGGAATGCTGAAGGGAGTTTGGTGGGGTTTTACTAAACACAACTGTAGGCTAAGGACCTGCTGCGAGGCCTCACAGAGGAAATTTGCCTTTCATTCACTTTTAATCAAATGTGTTGGGGCGTCCCTTGAGAACTCCCAGGACCTGGCAGAGCTTTGTGAGTCTCCACCCTGGGGATCCTGTGACACATCCATTCTTTCAGCAGCCCCGTGTAGAGGGCCTCCTGGAGGGGCTCTGGGCTTCTGCTTGTTCTGGTATGCTGAGCTGGATCAGGCTCTGCTGATTTCTAACCCAAACAAATCATGGAGGAATGTCTGTGGAACCAGTTAATGTTGAGATGGAGAGAGTATGTTCTAGAATAGTGGTTTTCAGATTATGTGTTGAGGTCCCTCCAAGGCCCATCTAGAATTGTTGGGGGAGGAGAAACACTCGGGATTTATGGTTGCCTCATACAGAGGAGCTCAAATATCTGTTTGATATGTTAGCATTCCAGGTAAAATTTCATTTGAAGGGAGGATTCAGGTCTGGGAAGAGCAATAAAACGTTATTAGGGAGTGTACACTAAGGCCTGTTTTTAGTTTTTGGCTCTGGCTATGTGAGACTTCAGATCTAAAAAACCAACATGCTGGTTTTGCTGGGAGCAGTCCTGGCTTAGACCTGTGGTCACTTTAACGTTCGAAAGTGTTCCAGTTTGGGTAACAAATTATGTGAACACTCACTGCAGATGTTAGAGATTAGGATCAGCCTTGCCTAGTGCAGTAATTATCCAGACTAGAAGGTCCTATCAGGACCATTGTCATAGAACTAAGGATTGGAGACATACAAAGTTACCTGGACTCCAAACTCCAGGAAATTGTGACTGTTATCATATTGTAACTCTCCTAAAACTGATACTAGGTCACTACCCAGAGCTTTCTCTGCTTTTGACCATACCGCTGTCACTTTGAAATGACCAACGGACCAGCCAAAGAGCATATTTTTCACTTGTATTCAGGCTTGTAATTACCTCCGCTTGTTGCCTTTCAATTCCTCTTTCATTCTCTCTTTTTTAAAAATTCAACTTCCGATTGGCCATGAGACTGAGGCTGACCTTTGATAACCTCACAAGGGTAACTGGTATATTTGTCTGTGAGTAGCCACATGAGAAAAATCCCAAGTAGACCCTGTATTTATTAAGCTGGAAGGCATTTAATAAAATATTAACATTGTGTTTTGAATTATGATCATTGTCTACTTTGCTGGAACAAAATGTAATGGAGCTAACATTTAAAATCCCTCATGCATTTGGACACTATACCAAATTTTGATGTTTTTTTACAGAATTCTGGCTTGCTATTTGAGAGCTAAAACTGCAGGTGTGTAGCCATTCAAGTTGTGAACATTGCTTTCTACTTCAGTGAAAAGGCAGCTTACCTGGAAATAACATGTAACCCATATTTTGTTAATTTAAGCAAATAAAGACATGTTTTAAAAAAGCAAACAGAGTTATTTGTAGATATATGACAATTTTCAAGGAAGCTTCCCTTGTCTATTTATGTCCTTTTCACCCTTAAGCCCTCTGCCAGTGTTGGGGTGGGGCAGGGCCAGAACCTCATTGGTTCGGATTCAGCACAAGGGGTCACTGGTGTTGGGTTCTCCCTCCCTCAGGAATTTAAAAAAAAGATTCTAGAACATCTTCATCCTCTTTCTGGGCAGAAAACTTCATTCTAGTAGGTTGTCATGTCAAGTGGGAAATTACAGGCAGGATTGTATTTTGCTGTGAGTTCTTTGTAAGTAGATTCAACCAAGAGTAATATACTCTGATGGACAAGAGCACAGATTCTGGACAGATTCCTGGATTGGTAGTCCAGTTCTCACACTTCTCATCTTTTGACCTGCAAAACCTGTTTGTAAAACTCTGTGCTTCAGTTTGTCTGTGTGCTTCCGGTTTCATCCTCTGTAAAGCACAATAGGCATGAAACTTTCCTCAATTGTTAGAGGCATTAAATAAACTGATATACGCAAGAAACATAATAGAATTATGATCTTTGTCTGAATGTGTCTGCCTCTTCGCTTATGCCACTTAAGAATTAGCCAGGATTATCCTCTTCAAAATGGTCAGAAAACTGAACACTCAGTTCTCTGCAACAAAGAACTCATAAAGCTGGGTTGGCATGGGGATTTCCATTTGAGGAAGCATCCATTTTTACCCTGTGCACTGTTAATATGCCCCACACTATGGAGCAACTGATAGTCTCATTTAAGCCTCCAACCACCCTCACTTTAACTGGTGAGGAAATAGCATTTCAGGAGAGTAAAATATTTTGTTCCTGATTACCAAGGAAGTATGTTCCTCTTGTACCTACAAAATGTTTATCCTATAGCAACCTGGATTCTAAAAGAAAATGCAACTGCAAGTTTCAGTGCAAGGTATTGGTTAGGGACAAGCACTAATGGAGAGGAAGAAGAAGGACAAAGATTGAGGAAAAAACAATCAGGTCCAGGCCAACATGGTAGTAGCTCCGGGGTCAAGGTTGACCCATCAGGTTTGTGCCACATTGAGCTGGTATATCCAGGCCTTTGCTTCTCTGCTCTGCTGTCAGATGTGTATTGCCTTGTGAAGGGCATGACCCCAACAGCACCTGAGGGCACAGCTGACTCTGGAAGAACTGGTGGCAGGAAGCAGTTTATTGTGTTTGGTGTAGTCCAACAGTTTGGTGCAACCCTTCCTTGAGAGATTGGGTGACTTAGCTCCACAGCCTCCAGAGTTTTCCTCCTGAAGCACTTCAGCCTGTTTGCATGGACAGTCATTGCTCACTGAGGTTCTAGTTTAGTGTCAGACTATTTTCCTGATGGCGGTCCCAATAGGTGGTGCCATCTTGGTGCACCACCTATGTCGTTTGGGTGAATAGTAGACTAGACCATCTAGGTTGGGTAGCTATACTCTGCTCTGTTCCATTAGCATGACAAAAATCCCTTAACAATTGGTATTTCAAAGTTCCCCACTGTGAGGGGAGACACATGCAGCCACTTTTGCTTCCACTCCTGTGCCTGGACCCCTGCATTTTCTCTGTTGAGGGCTAGCCACCTAAACAAGTATTTCACCCAGTGACTTTACTAGTAGATGAAAAACTCTTCATGTGGAATAATTCTCTCAGGAGATGGCAGCTTTTGGGAGGTGTGTCTGTCCTATGACCAGTAGAACCTGAGATCATGATCCCATCTCCTCTCCTTGTTTACTGCACTATGAAGCCTCTGATTTTGAGGTAATAAGGTACAGGAATTTGTGCCAGTAGGATACATACTTCCCAAGTCTCGCCCCTGCATCAGAGGCTGGCTGAGGTCTGATGAGCAAGAAGGATTAGCATTGACCCAGAGTATGCACCTATTTTCTGTGGCACAGAAACAATGGGTCTTTAAGATGAAAAGAGCTTAGCAGAATTATCTTCTCACCAAGTGGAGCAGTGGCAACCCAGTCCCAGCCTTGCTGGCATTTTGATATTCAGCAGTGAAAGGAATGAGGTTAGCTTTGACAAGTTCCGTTTATGTATTTGAGCCCATGCCACTTTTTGGTCACATCCGGCGATGCTCAGGGATTACTCCTGGTTTTGCACTCAGGAATTACTCCTGGCTGCGCTCAGGGGACCATATGGGATGCTGGGAATCGAACCCAGGTTGGCCATGTTCAAGGCAAATGCCCTATTTGCTGTACTATCGCTCCAGCTCCTCTCTATTATTTTAGTACCAGAGTGGCTCTTGACAGAGAACTGAGTGAGCTGGCAAGATTTTGTCTGCCTGATTATTTAGTGTCTTGATGAGAGATACTACCCAGTAGGTGTAAATATGTAGGTTAAAGCTTTTATAATTTGTATTCACTACCACTATTCTGGGCTGGAGCAATAGCACAGTGGGTAGGGCGTTTGCCTTGCACATGGCCGACCCAGGATTGATT